AGGCACAAAATCAAAATCAGTAATAAAGAAGTGAAGAAATTGGCAAGGATTTCCTAAAAGATTGAACTCTCTTTCGCTTTTGAGGCAATTACTCTAACCACTGAGCCATTCGGTACCTTAAATTGCCAAGAAAGAGAGAGGGAAAGATAAGGGGGAAGAAGAAAGGAAGAAGAAAAGAAGAAGAAAGGAAGAAGGAAAGTCGATTAGTCGAAAAGAATACAAAAACTCTTAAATACCTGTTTTCTAAGTGTAATCGTTGTTTAGACTTGTTTAAATTCAAAATCTATCGAAAGAAATGCGTTCAAGAATTTATCTAAACAATTGTATCGAAATTATTCTTATTTTTGCATACTTATTACCCTACCGTATAACCTCTAATAGTAGTGCCCCCTTATAATGGTCGGAGCGTCGCGTAGTCTAAGTTTAAACGCATTTTTCTCGTCACTCGTTTATGCTACAGTATGCGCTTAAATATCAAATAAAAGCTTAAATTCAGGGCTATTTTTTGATACCAAAAATGTATTTATAGAAATTATAGGCGCTTAGAAAAATGATTTAGTAAAAATTTTGTTGCGCCTACGCGACGACTGCGACGACTTTTGTTGCGACTACGTGACTGTACGGGACGGGGGGCGCTACTATTAGAGGTATTACGGTCATAATTTATTATTCGCTAAATTTACCCAAGAAAAACCCACCAATTTCCTCTAATTTTCCCTAATTTGCCATTCGTGCTTTCAAAATTTCAGCTTTTTTCAAATTTTTCACTTTGTTTAACGTTTTTCTAACATCAACTGTCATTTTGAATTTTTCTCCCTCGAAATTTTTTACTCTTTTTCCTTATCATACAAATTCATCTCCGTTTTGAAACTCTGAACTGAAAGTTTAAGGAAAACTAATGAATTTGAGTTGTCTAAACGCTTTAATAGTCTTTAAATTTTCATTTTTATTGTCAAATCACTTTTTTAAGCTTATTTTTCGAGATATTTATGCAAAAAGAGTAAAAACATTGTGTTCTTTGTGGTTTTTCATAATCGCTTGCCTTCCGCAACAAACTTGGGCAATTAAACCGGGAGATCGGAATTTCCGGGCACTTCTATCTGGGCAGTGTGCCAGACGCTGCTTTTTCTTACGAGAGACAGAGAGAGAACGCACCAAGCCTGGCTCCAGTGCACTAGCTAAATCCCATCCAAAATAGATTTAGCAGTTCCCGAAAAACTTGGCTAATTAAACCGGGTGAGGGTAGAAAGAACCTACAATGGAAAGAACATGGAAAGAACCATGGAAAGAACCATGGAAAGAACCATGGAAAGAACCATGGAAAGAACCTACAATGTTCATTGAACACTCAAACTTTTTAATGATAACCAATAAAATTGTTAGTCAACAATATTATTAACTTATTTCTTTTCTTTAGTTTTGTTCATTTTGTGTTGTTAGTTGGTTGACTAGAGGCAGAATTTCCTTTCTTTTTCTCCCCGTTTGGCATTCGAATCCATTCGTCCCGAAGAGTTGAAAGGGGAAATGGAAAGGAGAAAGAGAAAGAAGGAAGAGAAAGAAGAAAGAATAAAAAGGACCTTTTGTGGGCCTTTTTCTTTCTTTCTTCAGCTATTTCCAATGGGGGAAATTTTCCAGAACTCAGTCAACGTCAAGCTTAGCCTCGCTTTAAATGATAATACAATTGTAGTTGCTTTAAAATAATCTGATTTAGCTTTTACTTAATTATTAGTATCATTTTAAAGCCCGGCTCTAAAGCAAGGCTAAAGCAAGCAAGCAAAGTCCCTTTTCAATTCTAAAGTTCAAACTAAACTCGAGATTTCCCAGACTCCAGTTATCTTGAGTTTTTAATCTGACTATCTGCAGATAAATCTTTATTAAAGTTCTGATTTGAAGATAAGTATGTAGTGATATAAAGGCTAGGCAAAGATGCATTGAACGTAGTCGAGGCTTGCTTTAGCCAGGCATCAGTTGTTCAGAAAGACTCAAATCTTCTCTAATATGCTATTTTCTAACAAATTTCCACAACTATTGGCTAATGTTTGGCAACAACTTGGCTAATGGTTGTTGAAAAACTTATGCGAAGTTTGCAAAGTGCGAAAAAAACAGATAGATGCTAGTTGATTAATGTTCTGTGATTCTGATTCTGATTTTGATCTCTGATTTCTGTAAGATCTAGTTTTCAGGAATGTTCCAAGCCATCCATGTAAGCTACAGTACTGGACAATGAAAAAACAAATTTAAAAAAAAAAAAAAAAAAAAAAAAAAAAAAAAAAAAAAAAAAAAAAAAAAAAAAAAAAAAAAAAAAAAAAAAAAAAAAAAAAAAAAAAAAAAAAAAAAAAAAAAAAAAAAAAAAAAAAAATTAAAAAAAAAAAAAAAAAAAAAAAAAAAAAAAAAAAAAAAAAAAAAAATTTAAAAAAAAAAAAAAAAAAAAAAAAAAAAAAAAAAAGAAAAAAAAAAAAAAAAAAAAAAAAAAATTCATCTTATTAAAAAAAAGCCGCATAATTATCAAATAAAGGTTGTGAGTTTTCGGAAAATATAAAAAAAAAAGTTTTAAAAAAAAAAGGGCGGGCGGGGGGGGGGGGGGGTGTGGGCCGATCGTTTTTAAATATGATATTTCATTGTCCAGTACTGTACCTGGCCTGGTTTGGCCAGGCAAGGTCCTGGTTTGGCCAGGCAAGATCTTGGTTTGGCCAGACAAGGTCCTGGTTTGGCCAAGCAAGGCTAGGGTCTAATTTTTGCCTGATTCTCCTGGTCAAACCAATATCCAATATCCAATCTTTTAAGCAAGTCTACAATAGATTCAATATAGTCAATAATAAAATTCTTTAATTTCTAGTTTCTATATTTTCCATAAAATATTTCTCAAATCCATAGTAAGTTTGTTATTTTGTTAAAACAGAACTAGAATCTTTCTCCAGAGAAGCGGCATTTCAGCTTTGCGTCCCAATGGAAAAGGAAAAGGAAAGGAAAAGGAAAGGAAAGGAAAAGGAAAGGAAAAAGGGAAATGAGATAGGCAAGAAATGGAGAGAAATGAAAGATATTCAGTGAAATGGCCTTCTTTTTCCTTTCCCCATTCTCCATAGATGGGCCTCTGTGATGTTGGTTTTGGCATTGCCCCTTTTTCTTTCCTTTTTCTCCTCTCTTCGTTTCGATTCGATCTCCCCACATCTATTTTGTTTCCCTCATCTCCCGCACACCAACAAAATTTCTTTCTAGCTATCTCTTCATTCAAAAAAAAACAATGGAAATGACTAGGATTTCGAATTCTTCATAATTATTGACTTATATTTTAAGCATTCTCTTTTTCTTGTTCTTAATAGAATTTTTGGTTCTTGTACACAACTCACAGCTATAGGAAAAGCTCATTTTTGGCAGAGTTTTTTGGCAGTTTCTGTAAACGCTCTGCTCAAACTTTAGCCTGAAAAAGTTCACATTTTTGTAAAAACATGTACGATCTACGTACGATCTACGGTGCTAAATCTTGCTAAATTACTAGTATTGTTGTTGATTACTAGATTCTCTACTTATCAGACTTGTAAGCTATCTAATTTGTCCATTTGATGGTTTATAATAACGCCAGCGGAAAACTGGAGAGGTCTAAGGTTTAAGCTCAATCTAAGCCCCACCCCTTTTTGCCAATGGCTGCGCACAGACGGACTGATGTCTCTTATGCTTTATATAGCTTAAATAATCGTTTATAATCCGTTTAATCATTTGATCACTTTCTAATAGTAAGACATAAACTTTTTCTTTTTAACTTAATTGAAAAGCTGATTTGATTTGAATTAAAGTTTTCTACCGTAAATACTGTAATAGTATTTACGTACTCGTACAGTCGGGTAGAAGAGCAGATTCAGAGAGTCCAAATCAATCACAGAGATCATTAAGTAATCAAGAATTAGAAGGAAAGAAAGAATTGATTCGTTCTTATTAAGAAATAATGCAATAATGCTTGTCACTAAAGTTTGTATGTAGGAAAAAAATACCGTACTTACCGTAAATACTGTAATAGTACCCCACCCCCCTCGTACAGTCGCGTAGTCTCAAAAGTTTTTTAGTATTTCATTTTTTTCAAAGCACCCGTACTTTCGAAAAATGCGTCTTTGGTATCAAAAAATAGCCCTGAATTTCAGCCATTTTTTGATACCTAAGCGCGCATTGTAGCATAAACCAGTGTCGAGAAAAACGCGTCCAAAGCTAGACTACGTAACGCTCCGCACCGTCATTATGGGGGTGGGGTACTATTACAGTATTTACGGTAGTTTATTACTTTCTTCAAAATTCCAAAAATTTCAAATATTTTCCCGGATTTTGGCGGTATTTGAGCATTAAAAATTCTTTTTTTTGAAAAGTTTCCAGTCATTTTTATTTGAATAAAAAAAGAGAAAGAAAAGAAAGAAAAGAAAGAAAAGAAAGAAAAATATGTTCATTGCTGAATTTATTTCATTCATTTCATTCATTCATTCATTCATTCACATTCGTCCGCTCCGAATCCTTTTCCCATTCTTTTCCACACTCCGATTCTATGCCATTGATTTTTTTTTTATTGAAAAACAATAGCATATTTGTTTTGAGAGATTTTAGAGCTAAATCAATATTCTTGAAAATAGAATTCAGTTCGCTTCTGCGTTCTCCTAACTCACTTTTACCAAAGACACATAATCTAGCGTACTAGATCAAGTCATTGAAGCTGTTGTGCATTCCAATCAGTTCTTTTTTTTTGCAATCGCACACAAACTGGCGCATTGAAATCTTTCTTTTTCTATCTATTGTAGTGACAATTTTATTCCCCCTTTCTTCAAAAAAAACCCCCATTTTTAGTCATCGCTCGTCACCGTTTTCCGCCTCGAAAATAAAATTGATTCCATTTTTCATTTAATTTTTCCATTTTTTTTTATTTTTACCGTCTTTATATTTTAAATTTCAGATATATTTTGGATTTTATCGAACTGAAATTGAAGAAAATGATAGAAGACGAATGAAATTTCTATAAAAGATTCATGGAGGGAGTGGCGCGATTGATTCCGTCAAAAACTTCAAGGGAAAGCACGTCAAAAACGACAATCTCACTGGACAATCATGAGGATTTCGATCAAGGTTTGACTTTGGCTTTACAGTAAATATACCGTAAATACTTTAATAGTACCCCACCCCCATGATGACGGTGCGGAGTGTTGCGTAGTCTAGCTTTGAACGCGTTTTTCTCGACACTGATTTATGCTACAATGCGCGCTTAGGTATCAAAAAATAGCCCTGAATTTCAGCTATTTTTTGATACCAAAGACGCATTTTTTGGAAGTACGGGCGCTTTGAAAAAAATGAAATACTAAAAACTGCGACTACGCGACTGTACGAGGGGGGGTGGGGGTACTATTACAGTATTTACGGTAGGTTTTATGCGTACATGTGACTTTGATCGACGTAAAACTTGTAAATTTGCATAGAATTTTACAAAAACGAGATATTTTCCATTTCCTGCTTGCTTATATCCATGAATTTGCTTGGGTTGTTTTCAAGACGCTAATAATTTGACTTTTTAGAAAGATTTTGCATTCAAATCATGTTTATTAGGCTAATATTGAGTGTTTACTGTTCATTGTTTGACAGTAAATGTAAATTTATGAGCTTGTCCAAACGGCCAGAGCCAAGCTTGCGTTAACTTTGTCTAACCCAAAAAATCAGACCTGACTTCTGGACTGTTTTAATCAGACTTGATCTGCCCGGAGAATCTTGTGCACTTTTACAGTAAACATAAAGCCCTATCCTGACATCAATGGAACACGTGTCGGTATAGCTCATTGGTAGAGCGTTAAGCAAGCGATTAAGCGTTCGCGGGTTCGAATTCCGGCGCCGATCATGTTTCGTATTCTCAGCCTCAAACCTATCAATAACAAGGCCCAGTCAAAGCCAAGTCCTGCCTTAGCTTTGAACCTTGGCTTGGCTTTACTACCTTAAGCCTAGGCCTAAGCTCGACAAAGAGTACTTGACCGCCAAGGTAAGAACCGACTTGTGCCTGACTCCCTGACATGTTCTTGTTTAGCAACTGACTTCTTGACCTGTTTTTGTCTAGCCCTGATTCTATTATGCTAATTTGATTTGTAAACAGCTATTACTACTTAATTCATTTCTTTTACTACTTATCTACGGCTGCAAAGCCCATTAATGCTTAAAAATCCGTTATCAGGGTTATTCTTTGACGGGGTGAGAGGTCACATTCCTCCTTTCCCTCATTTTCGGCCAGAGTTTCTCCGCGTACACTTATGAATATTCGGCCGGCATTTAATGAGCCAAAAGGAGGGTTTTTATCAATATTTAGTTATTAAGCATTAAATTTTAAACTTATTTTAAACGTTAATTTAAAATAAATCATTGAAATTTCTTTAGATACCCCATTCTCGTATGAAACGGCGATTCCGGTGATGGAGTCCTCAGGGCAGGACGTGCTCGAACTGGAGATGAACCATAATATTGGTGAGATATTTGAAAATAGATTTGTTTAAATAAAAAGTACTTGATCCTTGATATAAATAAATAAAATAGCTTATTATTAGCTTGAATTTTATGAACGTAAAAGCGATTGAGTCAACAGAAACTTGGATAGCTATAACCAGCCGCTTTCTTCTTTCATTTTCAATCAAAAGACTAAATAGTTATCAAATTTTAAAGATAATTATGAAAAATTTTATATTTTTGTAGGTTTAGCAAAGATTTAGGCTATTTGGATGCTCGGGAGTTCGGTCGAGCGGCTTCTTTCGATTCGTTGGCTGCTCCAGCGTACACTGATGAGTATTCGGGTGGGTTTTAATTGTAAATATTCGGCAAATAAAGAATTAGATTTATTGCTTAGCTGAAATAGATTAACTGGCTCTTTATCAGCCTTCTTTATTTAGATGTGAGCTACGATAATCTGGGAGCACCGTCGTCTTATCAATTTCAACCGGTTGACGATCTCATCGATGAGGAACCAAATGTGGGTTTTGGAAGAAAATTTCAAGTTGTTGCTAGAATTTAGACACGAAATTTGCATTTATTTCATGATAAAAGGTAAAATTTTACAGAAGAACACCCAACTGATCGATCGAAATTGTGTTGTCGTCGTTCAGCAGCAATTAAGCGAAACACCGATCGATCACACTGCCTACTCACAGCCGCCATCAACTGAGCAGTCACGGTGAGTGATTGCTTGTTGATTAATTGATCACATAATGATATATATAACTGATTAAGCTATTGAATGGATTTACAACGATCAAAACTTTTTAGACACGAGAACAACAATCACACTGGACATGTTGATACAGCAGTGGCTCTGAGACAGGTAAACAAAGCTGTTTCTTATAGAAAAACCATGTTTTATTATTTATTTTACTATCTTTTACTAATTTTATATCTTAGTTTTAACTAATTAACTAAGTTTAGGTCTATGCAGTGAAAGCGACAACGGGAGAAGCCAAATCGGCATCAACTTTCAGCGCAAAGTAAGGATTTTTAAGTTCATTGATGAGCCTAGGTTCTAAACCAGAATCCAGGCCCAGATCTGCCTTGGCTCTTTGGCTTGGCTGCTCACTAAATAAATGGCGCCGACTTAAGTCTTTTGTATCGACGACGAAGCTGACTTTTTGAATCACTCCTAGCTTATCTGATACAGTTTTTGAACGCTGATTCCAAATCTGATTTTAGTTTCACCAACGGAGCCCTGTATCGCGAGTTATCTGGCAACGAAGTTTAAGTCTTAGAGCTACTATAGGTCTTACTTCCCGTTAAACGGAGCGACGCGGTGGTGTAGTGGGCAGTGTGCCGGCGCGCTCGCTTTTAACCCTCGTTCGAATTCCCTCACTGTCAGATCATTTGTTAAAAGTTGATCAGATCAGGAGTCAGACCATTTCCGAGTCAGATACCGAGGGTAAAGCCAGATTAGGCCAAGTCAGGCCAGGCCTAGACCAAGTCAAGTCTGGGCCAGAGCCAAGCCAGATCCAGAGCCTGGCCAGGTCCAGAGTCAGCCTCGGGTCTAAGGTCGTTCTGGTTATCCCAGGTAGGCACGCTTGGATAGTCTGGTTCTGGACCTGGTTCCAGACCTGGCCTAGACTTGACCTGGTCAAGGGCAAGGGCAAGCTGGCTACACCTGCCATTACTGAATCGATTTTGGGCATCCTTGATTATTTCTAATAACTTCATAACTAGATATTTCCCACATCAATAAATCCTTTTCAGTTTCAGTCGTCCCGTTTCCTCGTCTTCACTCAACACTCTTTCCACCACTCCATCAACCACTTCCACATCACACAAAAGATCGAGTGGTCGAAATCAACCGAAAAAGGAGCCTCTTGATCCAAATGTCGTTGAAGAAGAAGTGGCTAGGTTGGTGGCAATTTTGAATAAATAAAGTAGAATGGATTGATTGGATTGATTGATCATTGAACATTGAAAATCTTTTGCGTCTTCTTCTTTTATCCTTCATTGTTTATGGTAATGATTGGCTCATCTGATCGAAATAGCAATCAAACAAATTCTATTTTTCATTAATGATCTAAAATCTTAGTCTTTTTCTTTTTGAGCAATCGCACTGATACACTGCATTGCACTGTACTTTGCGCTCTTGAAAACGAGCACCACTTGGCATACTAAACTCAGATATTTTCTGTAATTAAAGCTGAAAACCAGGCCAACAATATAGCAATGTTATTTTAAAATTTCTAATTTTTTCTTTTTAAAAACTTTTCTCAAATCTTGTTTATTATCGCTCTCTCATCGTCGATAAAAATGATCAATTGGGGAATGGTTTTTGTCGTCTTTTTTTCTAGAAAAAGAGAAAAATCTTTTGATCGTTAAGTGGAACTCTCATCATTTTTCTTCAGTTGAAATTGTTCAACAAAAATTGTTTCTCAAAACTTTTTGAGGTAATTTGTTTTGAGTTTGATTTCAGAAAGAATTTCCTTTTTTGATTTTGCCGTCATTTTATAGTCTAAAGTAATCAGAATCATCTCCATTTTGTAACTTTTTGTTTTTTCTCCGAGATTCGACCAAATCAGAACAGAAGTCAGCTCAGAGCAGAAGCCAGCTCAGAACAGAAGCCAGCTCAGAACGGAAGCCAGCTCAGAACGGAAGCCAGCTCAGAACGGAAGTCAGCTCAGAACGGAAGCCAGCTCCAGATCTTACGATTAGATCCTGCCCAGTTTCTATCATCAATTTAGCTACACGCTATTTTTGTGACCAGTGTTCTACCCAAATTGATCATCTTTACACCCAAAGTTCAATATAAAACTCCTGAATTTTTGTCCTAATCTGTTGCTACTATGACTGAGTGGGTAGGGATCTTGTATCCAAGTCGGGAGGTCACGGGTTCAATCCCGGCTCCAAGTTTTTTCCCATTTTTTTCCCATTCCTACATCGATTTTTGCTCTGCAACATCTTTAGAAGTATTAGGGTTGTGTATTTATTTGTATGAACATCATATCATGTAACGACAACATCATAACATCATCAACATTTGTATCAGATTAAATAAATGTCTACTTTTTAATTTAAAATAGTTCTAGAATTGACAAGGCATGGTGGAAGTGAGTTAACTGATTCACATCAACAAGTTTAGATAATAAATCTCTTGGAATATTTCTAAACTCTGATCTGCTTACTTTCTCGACACAGCTCCTGATGAGTGGAGTGGTATTCATAGCTGAATCTCCGAAGCGATCAAACTTTTCATTGCGAATCTCACCTAAAAATCCCCCTCTTCACTTTATCAGATCAAAAACGACACTTTTCTTTTTCCGGAAAGATTTTTCGCTTAAAAAAATCCCTCTTCAGCAAATTCATCAGATCCGATTTTTCCGTAAAACAAAAAAAACCTGTTCTAAACGAGTCTCAGAAGAAAGATCTATCTTTTTTTTTTTTGCTAAACGAAAAGCTCTAAATGGCATTCGATCAACGTTTTTTTTGCATTTCATTGAGTCTTTCAATGATTTTAGCCTTGAACTTTTTTCATTTTGAGCTATAAAATTGAATACTTGAGAAAAGAGGAGTAAAATCTAGTTGAGTTTTGATGTTTGGAAAAATTTGATGGGAAACTTTATCATATTAGTAGGCTTAGCTTAAAATAGTTGACTCTGAAAGCATGTATTTGGTGTACATTGAGCTTAAAAATGTAAAAACACTCTTTCTGGCGCACTGGAGGCCACTTTTCTTGCAACTATGAATTTGATTCTCAAGAAAAATCAGGAATTTAGTACGCTAGAAAGGTGCGTTTACAATTTACAAGCGCAAAGTACACAAGAAAGCCAGTGAAAACGGATTTTTGATATCTTTCCAATGACAAGACTCTATTTTTGATATCTTTAAAATGAAAAGACTTGTTATTCACAAAAAGTACATATCTTTCCTTTTTTGTTTTACCAAAACAAAACCCTCAAATTGCTCTGCATAAGATGAAATAATTGATATGAAAAATGAAAAAAGACTTTAATTCTCATGATCTTTTTCAAAAAATCGCATTTCTCGGGGGAAAATTTTTTTATCTTTTTGTCGACTCAACAATAGATCATAAAATTTTGTTGAAAAAGCTTTGAGAAAGCTTTCAAAAAGCCTTGAGAAAGCTTTCAAAAAGCTTACTAAAGCTGTATATTGTTGATTTTTGATTTGTTCAAATTTTTAATGATCTTTTTACAGTTTTCATAAAAAATTTTTAGAGTTTTGTCTTTAAAAAAACGTAAAACTAGATAAAATCAAGATGATCTAATGAAAAGACATTAAAAATTCAGAGAAATTGATAGTTTAGAGATCTTTAATCCAATTAAAACTTAATTTTAAAAGCTTTAAATCAATTTTTACCACTTGAAATCAATTTCACAAACTTCAAATATCATTTTTTTTTGAATAGAACTTTTTTTTTGTTTTTTCAAATTGAAAATCCAATTTGTTAGAACAAATAGTTTAAAAATTATCAAAAAAACTTTCTAGAACTTTAAATGTAATTGAATTGATTGAAAATAAGGTTGAATTAATTGAGAATAAGGTACTTTTTTTGTTATAGGCTTAGGCCTTTGTTATAAAAGCTAGCTTAGCTAGTTCATAGACTTTTATCTGCAATATGAATAGTAATTTGTTTCAAAATACTATTGAGATTGAGATTGAGATTAAGATTGAGATTAAGATTAAGATTAAGATTAAGATTATTTTTTACATTTAGAGTGATTATTTATCTATTTATCTATTGATTTTGATTGGGTTTTTTTTTGGGAATTTCAAACTTTTATTGTCATTTCATTTCACTTCAAAAAGATTCTTTTTCCTGTCGATTCTCTCATGAAAAGCGCATTGGTTTTGTGTTTAGAAAAAGAGAAAAATGGAGACAGAAATGAAAGAAATGAAAAGAAATGAAAAGAATGAAAAGAAAAGAGAATAGGAAAACTCTTTGAAAAGAGAATCGAAGAGAAACGAGAGAAATTTGTAAAAGAGGAAAAGATTGGAGTGGAGTGGCTTCTATCGATCCCCCTTTTCCCACACAAACACTCAACTATTTGTGATTTTTGCTTTTCGGAAAAGTTTCCTATATTTCTAGAGCTTGTTTATCTATTTTTTGTTTTGTTTTCATATTGATGATTGATCTTTATTGCTTATTGATTTATTGTTTTATTGCTTTCAATCACAATTTACAGTCAGCTTTATGCTTACTCATCAGCTGCTTTGAAAGAAAAAGAACTTTCTAACTTTTTAGCGATCACTTTACATTAGCTATATCAATTTGCATTTAAAAATCCCATTCAAATGACGTACTTTTGACTTTTGTGGCTATTTTTAAATGCAAAACAATCAAATCTAAAATCAACAACAAATTTGCATTGCTCTATTGGATTTAAATTCTTGATTTCATAGAAATTTGCCTATCTTTACCACTTCTGTAATAAGTTTCTTTTAAAGGATTTATATCATCTTTGAACTTTTACAATTTGGATTATAATTACAATTTGAATTACAATTACAATTTGAATTACAATTACAGTTTGGATTATAATTACAATTTGAATTACAATTACAATTTTTACAACTAGATTTACCCTAATCTCAGCATTGTGTAAGTAAACGCACCTTTTCTGGCACACTAAGTTCTTCATTTCCTTCAACGATTTTGCATCCATTTACTCACGATTTCAGTGAAGAAACAAATGCGCTAGAAAGGGTGCGTTTCTATTTTTTTTCTAAGCACAAAGTTCATTTGAAGTTCTTTAGTCAAATTTTGAAAAGAATTTCGCAACTTTGTTTTTAATATTCTTAAGATTTTCCTTAAAACAAAACACTTTTCGATTTTCTGCTCGTCGCTCGCATTTTTATGAGATCGGGAAGAGAATTAATGTGTAGAGAATGAATGGGAAGAGAGCTGATTTGAGGGAAAAACTCTAGCCCCGTTTGTAGTCTTAAAAATCGATCATTCGTACAATACTAGTGATTGAAATTGTTATTAAACTTGTCTTTTTACAAAATCTCTTTATTAGTTCAACCAGAAGCTTCGCAGAAAAAAGAATTAGCGGTGAGAGGATTCGAACTCGCGACCTTTCTCTTTCGTTCGTTTGAGAGACACGCGCGCTAATCACTCGGCCATGCTCTGGCACACTGCGAGCGCACTTGTCCCTTGCCCCACACGATCCACCGTGCTCTGTAGATGGGGCAGTGCGAGTGTGTTTGTCTCTAACCCCTACGACCCGGGTTCGACTCCAGCCCGCGTCAGCGCTTTTGGTTTTTTAGAAATTTCAAAACATGCTGCACAACTACATGAAATTCTAAGTCAAACTAAATATAAATCATTTGAAACAGCCCGCTGGATGCGGAGGAGTAATGCGCACAAACGGACAGACAGACAAACAGACAGACGTCTTAGTCCCTTTAGATAGTAGATTACCCAAGTAATTGAACCCAACACTTACAACTTGCCGTGTATTTTGTGCTCACTTGTAAACGCATCCCTCTGGTGCACTTGAAACTTATGGCACTTCTTCGATTTCCTTACACCAATTCTAGAAATTTGAGAAATTCAGTGCACTAGAAATGGTTTTTTTAACATTTCTTGAGCACCAAGTATGCCATAATCACTTTTGAGTGTACTTTATGATCAGACTTGACAAACGTACCCTTTCTAGCGTACTTAGTATGCTTTTCTCTATCAATTTCTTTGTTCTTAGCTTCAGAAAGGTTTTTCTTTCAACTACAATCACCTATTAGCTACAAATTTTCCAGAAAAAAAACTCAAAATTGATTTGTAAACTTTTATTCTAAACTTTAAGATTAGTTTCGAAAGAAAATATTGGATTCAGGTTCTTTTCTTGCAAAGATTTTCTATTTTTCGAACTTCTTCTCGGAAAAAATGACTT